TTCTAGGGCCAGCATGGACTCCGGCAGCAGGTTCCACAGCCTGAGAAGCCGGCCACCAACATCTGAAATCTTTTCTCAACTCCTGGGATCAGCACCATCCAGTCAGAGCTAAGAAATAAGTAAGTGTTGCCAAGCGCTGCCAGCGAAGTGAAAAAAGTGCAAAAATCGAGCTAATTACTCAGGACATGTTGGCAGACACCTCTGCTTGTCAGATTCCTAGTTGTCTGAATGGTTATGTACATCTGAATTACTTTACACGGTGGGAAATTTAAATACTTCTTTTTTTTTTTTAAATTTTCAGTAGCAGCAAAGATCCTACCAAGAGTTATGCTGTTACCAAAAAATTCCTCTCCTTCATCCCTGATTTATTCACAGGAGGAGGAGACCCTACTTCAGGACCATTAGTCTGGTGCTTGGAAAGATCCCATATGGGAATTCCCACCCAGACATGCTAATGAGAACTACTGCCCTCCTCCAGGAACCTCAGAGTCTTGCAGTGTGCTGGTCTAAGGCAAAGTCCCCGAGAAAATTCAGACACTCTTTAAAATTTGAAAGGAAGATATTGAGGAAAAATAAAAAAGAAATGTTACTTTATACATTTTGAATTTTTCATTCATTCAACAAATATTCAATAAGACCATACTACATGCCAGGGTTGTCCTGCTAGGTCTTGGGGAAGAGAAATATCCAAAGATATGTAAAACATCATCTCTATCCTGGGTAGTGCAAATGATTAATGCACTCAGCTGTTAACCAAAAGGTTGGAAATTCAAGTTCACCCAGAGGTGCCTCAGAAGAAAGGCTTGGCAATCTACTTCCAAAAAATCAACATTGAAAACTCTATGGAGCACAGTTCTACTCTGACACACATGGGGGTGCCATGAATCCAAATTGACTCAATGGCAACTGTTAACTGTTAACCTACAGTTCATTAGTTGAAACAAGCATGGGGTCGGGGGGGAACCACAATAGAATACGGTAAATCTTAAGGGGTGAGAGTTGGATTGGAATTAAAATTTACACACTATAACTTAAATAGGTAAAAACTATACCCAATGATAACACACGTACAAAAATACATCTTAAATTTGCCAATTAAAAATAACTCAGTCTCTGGGGTCTTAAAAGCTTGCAAG